ATGTAAAGTAAAAGGACACAAGTGCAACTAATATGACATTTATTGTGGCAACGTTTCGCTCTCCAGGAGCTTTATCAAGCCATTACAAACAATACATGGACACAGAGGGTATATAAAGGCTCAGAGTGAGGTGCAATACTAGTGAGGTAACATTTCGATGTTCACTAGTGGTAGTAGTAGTAGTAGTAGTAGTAGTAGTAGTAGTAGTAGTGGTGGTAGTGACAAAAGTAATACAATATGATAGAGCAATTAATTCGTACATGAACTTCAAGAGTGTATCAGTCTGTAGTGGAAGGAAGGCGGGGTAGGGGTCGGCCTAGGAAGGGTTGGAGGGAGGGGGTAAAGGAGGTTTTGTGTGCGAGGGGCTTGGACTTCCAGCAGGCATGCGTGAGCGTGTTTGATAGGAGTGAATGGAGACAAATGGTTTTTAATACTTGACGTGCTGTTGGAGTGTGAGCAAAGTAACATTTATGAAGGGATTCAGGGAAACCGGCAGGCCGGACTTGAGTCCTGGAGATGGGAAGTACAGTGCCTGCACTCTGAAGGAGGGGTGTTAATGTTGCAGTTTAAAAACTGTAGTGTAAAGCACCCTTCTGGCAAGACAGTGATGGAGTGAATGATGGTGAAAGTCTTTCTTTTTCGGGCCACCCTGCCTTGGTGGGAATCGGCCGGTGTGATAATAAAAAAAAAAAAAAATAAAATAATAATGAGTAAAAGGATATAAAAGCTATTACTTGGGTAACATAAAAAAAGGTTGGACAAATATGTGCTTTGTGTAGTATAACAGGAGATACTATGTGATGGCAGGGTTTACTGTTTTCAGGAGGATTCTTGCTAAGACTTCGGAGGTGGTGAAGCTGCCGTTGTTTTGTTTAATTGTATTCGAAACAGCGATCAGTGCTGATTCGAGGCACTAGCGTCTGCGGAAATTAGTTTCTTTGATCACTAATTGGGCGTCTCTGAATTTCATGAGATGATTGGTGGAATTTCGGTGTTGTACACAGGCGTTGTTCAAGTTATCCGCAGACGCAAGTGCCTCGAATCGGCACTGATCACTGTTTCGAATACAATTAAACAAAACAACGGCAGCTTCACCATCTCCGAAGTCTTAGCAAGAATCCTCCTGAAAACAGTAAACCCTGCCATCACATAGTATCTCCTGTTATACTACACAAAGCACATATTTGTCCAACCTATTTTTATGTTACCCAAGTAATAGCTTTTATATCCTTTTACTCATGTATGAATTAATTGCTCTATCATATTGTATTACTTTTGTCACTACCACCACTACTACTACTACTACTACCACTAGTGAACATCGAAATGTTACCTCACTAGTATTGCACCTCACTCTGAGCCTTTATATACCCTCTGTGTCCATGTATTGTTTGTAATGGCTTGATAAAGCTCCTGGAGAGCGAAACGTTGCCACAATAAATGTCATATTAGTTGCACTTGTGTCCTTTTACTTTACAGTATTTTTATTGCTAATGTATAGTGAACATGTCAGTCCCTGTAAGTGTATAAAATTACCTGTGATCACTTAAAGGAATCCATATAAAATCAATTACCACAATCTCTTCAAAGGGGTTTGGATGTTGAAGAGCTGATTCATCCAAAGAATTGGAGCACCCCTCATCTTCCTTGAATCACACCTGATTATCTTTCATTCTCTGGGTGCTGTATGGGTCTTGCAGGTTTAATACAGCTTCATAAATATAATATGTATTCACTGTACACATCATGTCTGGTTCATTTACTTGTTTATATAAGTCTTACAAGCAACATTTTATGTATATAACAGTTTTAAACAGTGCAGATTTATTCCTCAGAGCCCGTATAGAATACTTGCTACACAAGGACTGAACCTGTTCTTCACACTTTTTTTGTATTTTTTATTTAGTTTTCTGTAATTTTATCCATTGTTAATTTTTAAGCATATGATATATATGAATTGCTATTAGTTTCATTTTACTAAGGGTACTTTAATCATATTTTATATAAGATCAATAATAAAATTGATCACACTTAAGAAAAAGTACCATAGCTACATTAGGTAATTGGTACTGTATATTTGAATCAATATTGTACTGCAAATTTTCTTTTATTTACACATCAGCATACAGTGTGTTGAAAAACTAAGCACAGTTAACCATTGAATAACACAGTACAGGTCTCCCTCCACATTTGTGAGTTCCACTTCGCGGGCTTTGAACATTCGCAAATGCCCAGCTGCCCAATCATATTTAAAATACAGTGGACCCCTGCCTTATGAACGCATCGCCTTACGTTAAATCCGCCATATGAAGCATTTGAACGCAAAAATTTTGCCTTGCCTCATGATAAAAAACACGTCCCACGTGTGGCCTCAGCGCCAGTGTTTACAAGCCAGCCAGTGCGGTTGCATCTACGCATACATTCGGTACATTTCACATTATCCCAGTGTTTTTAGTGCTAGTAACTGCAAAATAAGTCACCTGGACCCCAACCAAGAAAGCTTCTAGTGCCATCCCTGTAGTAAAAAGGGGCGAGAATTAGTATGGAATTGAAAAACGAGAATTAGGAAATGTGTGCAAAGTGGGTTGAACTGCAAACCTTTATGGATGAAAATCACCCTGACACAGCTACTGCAAGCCGTGTTGGCAACCTGTACAATGACAATGTTATGGCCCATTTTAGGAAAGTTTTAAAGGAACGGCAGGTACAGAGCTCTATGGACAGATTTGTTGTGCGACAGAGGTCCAGTGACTCTCAAGCTGGTCCTAGTGGCATTAAAAGAAGGGAAGTAATCCCGGAAAGGACGTGCTACCTCAAGTCCTAATGGAAGGGGATTCCCCTTCTAAACAATAACAACTTCCACACTCTTCCCTCCTCCCATCCCATCAATCATCACCAGATCTTCAATAAAGGTAAGTGTTGATAAATTAGACACATGTGCAACTCTTGGGTATCTTTATTGAGGAAACGTTTCGCCACACAGTGGCTTCATCAGTCCATACGTAGGAGAAACTTGAAGAACAGGAGGAGAATGAGGTAATCAGTCCCTCAACCTTGAGTCGATGTGTTCAGTCCATCAATCTTGAATAGAATACGGCATATGAGCGGAGAAGCAGCTTATAAACCGTATGGCAGGAGAGGTGCAGCAGTCATAGGTGGTGTCACATTTGTTGAATGTGGAAGTAAGTCGTGCCCAAGAATTAGGCAAGCGAAGAATTCCTAAGTATTAAGATCCCAAGAAGTTGCAATGTCTGACAGGTTTGTAGATGAATGGTTCAGAGAACTGACATGTTGATAAATTAAGACACATGTGCAACTCTTGGGTATCTTTATTGAGGAAACGTTTCGCCACACAGTGGCTTCATCATTCTCCTCCTGTTCTTCAAGTTTCTCCTACGTATGGACTGATGAAGCCACTGTGTGGCGAAACGTTTCCTCAATAAAGATACCCAAGAGTTGCACGTGTCTAATTTATCAACATGTCGGTTCTCTGAACCATTCATCTACAAAAGGTAAGTGTCATGTATTCTATTCTTAGTAGAGTAGTAATTGTGCTTGTCTTCTTCAGTTTGTGTGTATTAAAATTAATATTTCATGTGGTAAAAAAAAATTTTTTTTCATACTTTGGGGTGTCTTGCACCGATTAATTTGATTTCCATTATTTCTTATGGGGGAAAATTAATTCGCCTTACGATAATTTCGGCTTACGATGAGCTCTCAGGAATAGATTAATATCGTAAGGCGGGGGTCCACTGTACATGTATGTCGTTAAGTGTGTTAGGAATTGTGGTGGTGGAAGAGTTTGAAGGCAGGACAAAATAGTCCTTCAATATGACACTAATATCAGCTATACTGCTTATTTATCTATCATAATTGATCTAATATAACATAAACAATATCAATAACAGTAATAATATTAATAACAGTAATAACCACTTGTTATTAATATTAATAGCAATATTAATAACGAGTGATGTTGTGTTGTTGGGTGTACAAGGGCCACTGAGAGCATAAGCTGTACATAGTAGTGGTGAAGGCCAGCAGAGGTGGCGGTGTTCTCGGTAGCCCCATATACTTCCAACAGCATTGGAGGAGTTAAGTTTGTGCTGTCCTTTTTCTATCGATTAATCACTTAACCTATTTGCTACACTATTAATGCTTCACTTCATCGCTGGCTGGCGCTATAGCCTTTATCGACTAGTGCTGCTTTAGTATCGTACATATCATAGAATCACTGAAGGCACATTCTCCCCCCTCTCTTCCTCCTCCACTTTGGTACTTTGCTACGAGTTCTTTCTTGAATTCTATAGTCTTTCTCACCTTCTTTACCAAAGGGCTGGCACTAGTACAATATTTTATGATGTTTTCATGTGTTTTGTGATTGTTCATGGTTCAATCCCCATGGCCTGGTCCACAACCAGGCCTCCCGGTGGATCAGGGCCTGATCAACGAGGCTGTTACTGCTGGCCGCACGTAATCCAACATATGAACCACAGCCCAGCTGATCCGGCACCGTCTTTAGGTATCTGTCCAGCTCCCTCTTGAAGACAACCAGGGGTCTTCCCGTAATGCCCCTTATTGCTATTATTATATTTCCCTACAATATATTTGTGCACCAACCATTCACGATTTTTCAACTTTCGTGAGGTTCTTGATCCCCTAACCCTTGCGAATGTGGAGGGAGACCTGTACAACAGCTTCGTTCCTATTACACAAATTTGTGTTAAGCCGATTTATGAACACATGGGAAAAACAGGGTTATGTTTCTGGGACCCTCAAAAATACCAAAATAAAATTTTAAGGTCTCTTAATTCTAAAAAAAAAAAAAAAATGATAATGTAATTGTAGTTGGATGTAAAATAAGATTTGTTTGGATTTTTAACCCAAAGGGTTAGCCACCCAGGATAACCCAAGAAAGTTAGTGTGTTATTACTTCCACTGGGGTCCTTTTTTCTTGTACCCCCAGGATATAACCCACAAAAGTCAACTAACACCCAGGTACCTACTCTCTGCTGAGGGCAAAACATGGAAAATTAATCAAGACACTAGGCCATAATTTTCCTCAGCCTGCCTTTGTTGTTGATTGGGGTGCTTTATTCCATGCCATTTTTATGTAACTGAGTGATCAACAGGTGTACTTTCCTGAATGAAATGTTATTGTGCAATTTAAAATTGCAGAAGCAGCCAGAATTAAACAAACACACTTGTCCAGGATTTCCTTCCTGATCACACAGTTTTATAATACAAGAGGGCTTTCTCTTTGATCCTGAAGAAATTAAATGGTAACATTTTCTTGGATTTCTGATCAATCCACTCGGTAATTTCTGCATTATTTATCTGCTGTGAACTACGTGACACTCTTCAGTTCACAACCTGGTTTATTAATTATATAAGGTGTTATCTTTTCATTCCTCTTTTCAACATTTGAACTGTTGCTAAACAGAGACTAAAGGCTCTTGCCATCTGTCACACATGCACCAATTTTAAGCTTGTCTATTTTTTTTTTTTTTTCAAAATACCCAGACTTTCATGCTTATTCTTCTTGACACTTCCAGTGTCACTCATATTCCTCTTCAGTACCATGGTTCATTAACACACAACTGAGTATGGTATGGAACATGTACACCTGCAGAACTGGCAGCATGGGACTTTGCTTAAATTAAGAGTGAGACAGGCCTCCCCCATAAAAACGATGGCTGCATCACTAGACTAACTGCCAGGAAGAAGGAAATGATCCTACAGCATACCTTATTTTCCCACAGTTCTACAGCATGCTAGTTCAACTGAGTGTTATTCAGTGGTCTACTGTGCTACGGTACATAAAATGTCAATATCACTATTTTTCAAGATTTTACTTATTGAAAATTAACATGTGGTCAGTGTAAAAAAAAAAAAAAAAAAAAAAAAAAAATTGGATAGGCTCTATGAGAGGAGTAAAATCTGCGAGAGCTGCTTTTGAACTACACTACACAAGTTTGATATCAGGTAATGAAATGCCACATTTTAAAGACTTCACTTTTTTGTGTGAATATAATAAGAGATACTGTACTACATCTTTTGTAACTTTTCATTCTTTTTTATTATAATAATAATTGTAACTTTTCTATTGGTGCAAAAAGTTGTTGGATTTTTGTTTAAATTCTGCTTATATTTTCCATAATAATAATAATTTTGCATTGTGGTGCTGTACTACTGCAAGAGTGCTATAAAATATCTTTAATAAAATTTGTATTTTGATACATGTATTTGTAAATATAAAACTACAAACTTTATAATTCAAATGGAAAATGTTCTTTTAAATCATAATTTACATATTTACCAGCACTTTGGGATGTTACATTCTATATTCTACACTGATGTAGTACGATCCCATGTACTAGCTAGGCTTGTGTAATAGACTCAAGACCTGACCCCTCAAGGAAGGTTCCTTGATGTTGGTGAGGGGCTCTTGATTTAGGGAATTGGATCTGTGCTCCAGTTCCCCGAATTAAGCCTGAATGCCTTCCACATCCCCCCCCACAGGCGCTGTATAATCCTCCAGGTTTAGCGCTTCCCCCTTGATTATAATAATAATAATCAAGACCTGACATCTAATTTATCAGCTTAGAATTAACTCATGTTTACTAGTATTAAATGTACATACATACAAGAATATGTGTGTCTGTGTGTGTGTGTGTGTGTGTGTAATTCAATGGCTGTCTTCTGGCAAGTTGGCAGGGTGATCCAAAGAAGAAAATGTATTCACCAACATTAACTATCGTTAATTTTCCAGAAGTGCGCTGACATCACATTTAGATTTTACTCCACCTGCAGAGTGTGAGTACTCCTTCAGAGTGTGAGTACTGTCCTTCCCATATCTGGTTTCCCTAATTCCTTCATAAGTCACCCATTAAAATCCACTCGTTTCTGTTCACTCTGGTCTAACACACTCAAACAAGTCTGCTGGATTTTCAAGCCCCTTAAACTCAAAGCCTCTACCATTCCCTCCAACTGTTCCTGAGATAACCCATGCACCTCCTACTTTCCACCCCAGATTTATATATACCTGTCATCCTATCCCTCTCCATCCTCTCTACATGCCCAAACCACCTCAACAATCTTTTTCTGACCCTCTGAATTATATCTTTGTGATCTTGCATTGCCTTTTAATTACTATGCTCCAAATTCTCTTCATGATAGTCACACTACACATTGCTCTTAAACATGACATCAATGCCTCTAGCCTCCTCACTGCAGCATTCAAAATCCATACCTCACACCCATATAAAAATGTTAGTACTCTATACAGTAAACCCTTGATATAATGGACTATTAGGGGATGGGAGAGGAGGGGGTTGTCTGTCTATTAAATCAGATTGTTTAAAAAATGTAGGATAAAATATTGAAGTACTATACTGCATACCTAATATAGTACTGTACACACATTTTACATATATGCTGCAATATACTCTGAAAATGAAGCACACACCACTTACTGCTTTCCTCTTATCTATTCTATGGTTCCCTTTCAGGTTTAGCACTGAACTTATTTATTATTCTTGTGAACCCATTGCTGACATGTCCACTCCCACTCCTCCATCCTCCCTTCAATTTGATATTCACTCTGTCATTGCCAAGACTTTTGTTACAACCTCATCACCTTTCTCTCTTCTATGTTCTTTTTTTTTTTTTTCTTTTGCATACCCTCCCAAATTTTTTAGCCAACATTTGCAACTTATCTTCAGAATCCCCCCAAAATTGTGATAATTCCCACTTTGTATCAGATCCAACATCTATTATTCCCACACCTCTTCCCACCGCCCTAGCACTCACTCCTTTCACAACCCCATCTATAAATATGTTCAACAACCATGGTGACATCATGCATCTATGTTAAAGTCTTACTTTCACTAAAAAAAATCTCCTCTTCCCTCCTATATACTCTAACCTTATCCTCACATGAAGAAATTCAGGAGAAACTGGTAAGTCAGACTAGTTCTGCAGGTGGGAAAGGCAGTACCTATCAGCACACTTGTGGTAATGCAGCAATTAAATGAATGGTGAATGTATTTCCTTTGTTACCATACACTGGTTGGAGAAGGCCAATGAGGTCAAAGAAAAAACTATATGCTGTATTTCAAATGAGTCTTCTGAATTAGGAGATTCATAGTTTCCAATACATTTTAAACTGAAGAGATAAACGAGATATATCTTTGGTATTGATTACTGCAGTAAAGCCATATGCACCACTCTTTCATAACGATTATAGCACTGTATGACCCATACGGGTTTCACTTGTTTTTTCAAGTAAAATAATTTTAATGATTATCACATCTTCCTCTTAAAGGATATACTTACAGTTTCTAAACTTAGCAAATTCACTTCATATTTTCAATTTTAATTGGAAAATCCACAAGTTGTTGTCATGTAAGGTTGAGTCCAATAATTAACATATACAGTGGACCCTCGCCTAATGAACACATCGCATAACGTTAAATCCGCCTAGTGATACATTTTAATGCAAAAATTTTGCCTCGGCTAGCGCTAAAAAACTCGCCCAACGTGATTCGTTCCATTTGAGACGCATCCATGTGTGGCCTGAGCACGCCTCACTTGTCCCGTGGGTGCCAGTGTTTACAAGCCAACCACCGCGGTCGCATCCAAACATACAATCGGAACATTTCATATTATCACAGCGTTTTTAGTGATTGCACCTGCAAAATAAGTCACCATGGGCCCCAAGAAAGCTTCTAGTGCCAACCCTGTGATATAAAGGGTGAGAATTAGTATGGAAATTAAGAAAGATTTTGAAGGGTTTGGGGCTAACCCTGAGATGCCTATGCCAGTTGTGGAATCCATTGTGCCTACTTCAAAGATTAAGGAAATGTGTGCAAAGTGGGTTGAACTGCAAACCTTTATGGATGAAAATCACCCTAACATAGCTATTGCAAGCCGTGCTGGTGACTATTACAATGTTATGGCCCATTTTAGACAAATCTTAAAGGAATGGGAGGTACAGAGCTCTATGGACAGATATGTTGTGCAACAGAGGTCCAGTGACACTCAAGCTGGTCCTAGTGGCATTAAAAGAAGAAGGGAAGTAACCCCGGAAAAGGACTTGACACCTCAAGTCCTAATGGAAGGGGATTCCCCTTATAAACATTAACACCATCTACACTCTCCCCTCCTCCCATCCCATCAATCATCACCAGATCTTCAATAAAGGTAAGTGTCATGTAATTGTACATGTCTTCTTCAGTTTGTGTGTATTAAAATTAATATTTCATGTGGTAAAAAATTTGTTTTTTCATACTTTGGGGTGTCAGGAACGGATTAATTTGATTTCCATTATTTCCTATCGGGAAAATTAATTCGGCTAACGATAATTTCGCCTAACGTTGAGCTCTCAGGAACGGATTAATATCGTTAGGCGAGGGTCCACTGTATTTTAATTAACAGAATCTCGAGGGGTAGATGCTGGTGAAGGGCTTTTGATCCAAGGAATTGGAGCTACCATCCTTTTTCCATGAATCAAACCTAATAATCTCCCATTCCCCAGGCACTGTATGATCCCTATGACTTTAGCTGTTCCCCACAAATATAATAAATAGAAACCTAATGTTCCATATCTGTAACACCTGTGCTCCTGTTTCTTACATAGACCACAACAAACATTGTATACCACTGATTTTGTAATTATCAAATATATTGTAATTTATCACTGTCTGTCACGGTCTTAATCTACAACATGTAAACTAACTAAACTCTGACTAGAAATTCATTAGTGACCCATATTCTTTAATATTTCCCCTCAAACGAGGTTCCTTGATGCTCGTGAGGGGGGCCCCCTAAATCCAAGGAATTGGACCTAACATCCCATGCCTTGGATCACACCTGATTGCTTCCCACTCCCCAAGGTATGGTATGGCCCCTACTAATTTAATACTTTCCATTTCATTCAACAGTGCTGAGATGTTTCAACTACTGTGAAGTATCAGCATTTTGGTGGAACTGGTATGGTGATACCAACAAGTTGTAGGTAAAAAGACATGTGTGAACTGATTAAGACAGTATTAAGGAAGAGTTTTTCCATGAGTGGTTTCTCAAGTCCTAATAGAGTAGCTAGAACAAGTAGTGTATGTAGTGAAAAAGGTCACGTGAGCACTGCTTTCTGTAGTGCAGCTGGGTGTCATCTCATGGCAGTGTCACTGTTGGATAGTAAGTGTTTGGTCAAGGTTCTGGATTTGCAACAGCTGCCTTACTTCTGTGGTATGGTGTTCATAATTACTATCATTATTGCTTCCAAACATTTAAGTCTTTGCAAATAATTTTTTGGAACTATTTTTTTTTGGCTTCATTGAACTTTGTGATGCATCCCTGTTATGTGCTATGTTGTAAGGAGGTGTTATTTTGTCATCTGGCTACAGACATATTGGTGTTTTCGAAATCTGAGTTCAAGTGTTCTAGATGTTGTGGTTGCATACTTTTGTGTTGCAACCTCTGTAAGGTATGGTGTATAGGATCAAAATAAGGCCTGCATACAATATAGAACAATAAAGACACACCACAATGTTTTAGATGAGGCTGAACTAATAGTTTGGGAAAGTGATTTACACAGCCTTAATGCTTGGGAACTCTGGCTAAATGACCGCTATCCAAGGGACACTGCCATTAGATGACACCAAGCTGCACCAGGAAATAGTGAACGTGTTTTGAAAGATTGTCCAGTATGTTCCCTTAACGTGTTACCCCACTTATAACCTATGCTTGCCTACTTCTTGTACTATATATACTGCTTGCTCTAGCTACTCAGTATTAGGACTGAAGCCAATCATGGCAAAATGTTTTCTTAATGAATGTCTTGATCTGTTCATAGATGTCATTTACCTATAAGCACTCTGGAGAAAGTATATTTGTATCACTGAGGAAAACTGTGTGCAGTAGTGACTCTGTAACTCTGAACCTATTATGCTATAGAAAATAATACTACAAAAGATGTTTGTGTCACACGTTTGTGACTTCTCGTCAGCATTCATAAAACAATTATTTTCACAGTATTATGTCTTAGAAACTCTGTGTTCGTAAGTTGGGGCCCTACTTTAATAAATGGACATGAATCAACGAACAATATCTGGTTGTGCTAGGAACATTACGTTGCTATAAATAATTTTGTATCAAAGCAATTTTGGGAGCAGAAATTAAAATGTTGTGCAAATAAATATTACTATGAAATTTGGATCAAATGGCATTATTCTGACTGGTATGAAGACAAAAATACAAGTTTTAGAACAAGCCTTTTACTCTATATAGATCCTAATCAAGCCTTGCAAAACAGTGCCCCAATGAAAGTTTCTGTAACTTGTGTGCTATGAAACTTGCTTTAAATAAAAATACATCAGTAAGTTTACTGGACAAAAAAAAATATTCTAGTTATTTTCCTTTCACTAAAATCCAGCAAAATCTTCCTTATAATCTCTAAGGTGTAGCTAATCTGTTGTCATAGAAATCTAATCCCCCACCCCACAAAAATACATTGCTTATAACCTATTTAACCATTAAATATCAGGTTTCAGGTCTATATTTGTGAACAGTACACGGTAACAAACATCAATGCACTCAGATGAATTTGCCAAGAGCTGAGTAGAAATCTTGTAAACAGGAGAGAAGGTGAGGGAAGCTAGCACGGTCTTCTGGCGTTGGGGCCCAGCAGCGGGCCATCATTCCAAACCTGTAACAGAGAAGTATGGTATGATTAAAATATCAAGTGAAATTTTTTTAATCACTCAAGGGAGGCTCCTTGATGGAAGGCACTGGCACTGCCCTCCTCTTCCTTGGATCACCTCCCATTCTCCTAGGCACTGTATGATCCATGCTACTTTAGCAATTGTTTTAAATATAATGTTATATGAAAAAGCAAATTGAAGTGTGATTTTTACATAACTGACTTCAATAGACTAGCCTAATTAAGCAAGGACTCACAACTCATCTGGACAGTTGTGGGGCTGGGCCAAACGGTAGCCATCCCTTAAGTAGGCAGCCATTTCAAAAGGGTCAACTTCAATATAAGGTTGCTGAGCCAATGTAGTCAACTCCCATAACAGAACACCAAACATCCACTGTAAAGAAATAATTACTAATTATTATATACCAAAATACTGTACACGAACTATATAACTATTGGTTTTATATGTGCATCGTCATTTTCAGTCTATTCATATAAAATATTTAAATAATATAGTCTGAGATGTAATTATAAAAACATGTAAAGTGCACTTTACAAAATTATAAATAAACGATAAAATAATCTTTGGCATCTATAATGAGTATGCATGATCAGTTTTACAGGAAGCTAATTTAAACCTAGCCTCTACAAAGGAAACATCTGGCAATACAGTTCCAAATGCAGCAGCACCATGATTTTTTTTTTTTTTTTAACACATCGGCTGTTTTCCACCGAGGCAAGGTGACCCAAAAATAAAGAAAAAACTTTCACCATCATTCATACATAATCACTATCTTTGCAGAGGTGCTCAGATACAACACCTTAGACGTCCCTCCAAACTGCCAATATCCCAAACCCCTCCTTGAAAGCACAGGCATTGTACTTCCCATTTCCAGGAAAAATCTGGCTAACCGGTTTCCCTGAATCCCTTCACAAAATATTACCCTGCTCACACACCAACAGCTCATCAGGCCCCAAAAACAATTTGTCTCCATTCACTCCTATCCAACATACTCGTGCACGCTTGCTGGAAGTCCAAGCTCCATGCACACAAAACCTCCTTTACCCCCTCCCTCCAACTTTATTGGGGACGATCCCTACCCAGCCTTCCTTCCTTTACAGATTTATATGCTCTCCAAGTCATTCTACTTTGTTCCATTCTCTCTAAATGACCAAATCACCTCAACAGCCCCAGTCAGCCGTCTGACTAATACTTTTAGTAACTCCACACCTCCCAATTTCCACACTATGAATTCTCTGCATAATAGTTACACTATACACTGCCCTTAGACATGACATCTCCACTGCCTCCAGCCACTGCCTTGCTGCAGCATTTACAACTCTTGCTTTACACACTGTACATGCCCTTCTTTTGCCTCCATGGACGAGTTTGGGAGTGTGTGTAAAGGTAGAAAGTTGAAAGTGAACATAGAAAAGAGTAAGGTGATATGGGTATCAAATGATTTAGATAAAGAAAAATTGGATATCAAATTGGGGAGGAGGAGTATGGAAGAAGTGAATGTTTTCAGATATTTGGGAGTTGATGTGTCAGCGGATGAATTTATGAAGGATGATAACCTCATCCTTCATAAATTCATCCACTGACACGTCAACTCCCAAATATCTGAAAACATTCACTTCTTCCATACTCCTCCTCCCCAATTTGATATCCAATTTTTCTTTATCTAAATCATTTGATACCCATATCACCTTACTCTTTTCTATGTTCACTTTGTTTCACCTTCATTAATCATAGGATTAATGAAGGAAAAAAGGCGAGTGGTGAGTTGAGGTATATGTGGAGACAAAAAACGTTATCTATGGAGGCAAAGAAGGGAATGTATGAAAGTATAGTAGTACCAACACTCTTATATGGGTGTGAAGCTTGGGTTGTAAATGCTGCAGCGAGGAGGCGGCTGGAGGCAGTGGAAATGTCCTGTCTAAGGGCAATGTGTGGTGTAAATATTGTGCAGAAAATTCGGAGTGTGGAAATTAGGATTAGATTTTGCCACCGAAGTGGCTAGTTTACTGTGCACCCCATATCCATCCTGTGGATGGTAGCGCAAGAGCATATGGATACACAAAAGGCCCAGGAACTAGGCCCAAGGGGTTAACATGAATACATATGGATTTATATCTACATATCTGTAGTTTACTTATGTTACAAGCAAATTTAGGAAATTTGCTTAGTATATCTGGTATCTTATTTTCATTAATAAGATATCTTGACATGTCACATAGGTTTTTATACTGTCTATCTCTGTATTCCTCAATAAGTGGACAGTTAAGCACATAAGTGTTCAAGACAGTGACCATATGCCTGATCACATAATTTACATTTAGTTTGATCACCATCTGTGTCTCTCCCAAACTACCAGAAGTACTTGTAACCAAGCCTAAGCCTGGCCACTACAACATCAGTCAGTCTGTTCACATTGCACATTGCTCCTTATACATACTTATCTACGTTCATGTTATCATAGTGGGTTATAGATCTACTCAGGCTTCTAATTGCATTCCTATAACAATCATTTTCATTATTTACTTCTCTCCTAATATTATTCCTAATGCTAGACACAGTTATACCAAAGTTATATTCTACATTCTCCTTCTGGGTACTCTTCTTGGCTAACATATCAACTTTATCATGAAGGAGTAATCTAATGTGTGATGGGATCCATATCAACTGTACATTAATTCCTTTGGCCCTGATTTCTGAGTATCTATACCTGGCTTCTCCAATGAGCATGTTATTGGAGTCATTATATGAGTCAAGAGCCTTCAATGATGACAGAATCAGTAATGATGATAGTTAAGCTCAGTGTCATAGGTTAGCTTTAGCGCCATTAGGATTGCAAACAATTCAGTTTGCAGTGTAGATGCCCAGTTGTTAATTCTTATGCCTAACTCAACAAATTTATTATCGTTGGAAATTAGGAGCAGGTGTGGAGTTAATAAAAGTATTAGTCAGAGGGCTGAAGAGGGGTTGTTGAGGTGGTTTGGTCATTTAGAGAGAATGGATCAAAGTAGAATGACAAGGAGAGCGTATAAATCTGTAGGGGAAGGAAGGCAGGGTAGGGGTCGTCCTTGAAAAGGTTGGAGGGAGGGGGTAAAGGAGGTTTTGTGGGCGAGGGGCTTGGACTTCCAGCAAGCGTGCATGAGCGTGTTAGATAGGAGTGAATGGAGACGAATGGTATATGGGACCTGACGAACTGTTGGAGTGTGAGCAGGGTAATATTTAGTGAAGGGATTCAGGGAAACTGGTTATTTTTATATAGCTGGACTTGAGTCCTAGAGATGGGAAGTACAATGCCTGCACTTTAAAGGAGGGGTTTGGGATATTGGCAGTTTGGAGGGATATGTTGTGTATCTTTATACGTATATACTTCTAAACTGTTGTGTTCTGAGCACCTCTGCAAAAACAGTGATTATGTGTGAGTGAGGTGAAAGTGTTGAATGATGATGAAAGTATTTTCTTTCTTTTTGGGTCACCCTGCCTCAGTGGGAGACAGCCGACTTGTTAAAAAAAAAGATACTTCAATGCACCACTCACCTTTTTCTGACAAGTAGACTCCCAAATATGTGGTAACATTCACTTCTTTCATACTCCCTCCCTCCAATGTGATATCCAGTTTTTCTTTGTCTAAATCGTTTGATACCCAATATTGTCAGGTTCACTATTTTTCAACCCTTTCTCATAGTGCATTCTTCTCAGTTCCTGGACTAGTTTGATTTGAGTATTAGGAAAGGTGTTCGTATAAAAGTAAAGTAAGTTTCAGTGTTATGTACTCACCACATCATTGGCAGGAGTGAACTGTTTATGAATAAGGGCCTCAAGGCTAAGCCACTTCACAGGCCGGTTTTCATTGTCGCCCAAACAGTGGTAATCCTGTGGGAACAAGTCACGAGCAAGTGCTGTGTCCGATACCCGAACTTGAAGTTCAGAATCTATCCTGAAGAATAAAAATGCAGTATGACTTTCTAGTCAGATATAACTATGGATATAGTAGCTACAAAGGTAATCTACATTTAATGCCCTTCAAAGGAGGTGATTTGAAACTGTTCATGACTTTGGTTAAACCTGATTGCTTCTCACTGCTCAGGCACTATATGACTCCTATGCATTTAATGATTCACAATACCACTACTATACTACTACTACATATGACTACACCACTACTACTATACTACTACTACTTCTAATACAAATGTATTTTATGTAAGCAGCATAAGGAAGGCACCATGAAAAATAGATACTGTAAATACATATAGTATAACAGTTATCATTACATAGGCTATTCTTATGATAAAAATAATGTAATATTTTTATGAAATTACAAAGGCAGTAAGAATATTAATAAAATATTTGCATTATTCTAGATAGTTTCATTTGCCCTACTTACAGACAGTTTCTAGTGGAAACATCTTTATGCAGAAGTCGTTGTTGGTGAAGGTGAATGAGGCCAAGACACACTTGTATAGCAATGTGGACTACGTCTCTCGTGAGGAGTTTGACGCCTTCGCTAGACCCTCGGCTACAACCGAGCAAGTATCTGGGACAAGGAACAAATATTTGCAATTAAAAATGCTAAGAAAAATTTGAATTCAAATTTATAATTCATACCATTATATTAACCCTCTGATTGCCGCAAGCCCCTTTATGAAACTGTCATTCTATGTCGCAAAATTTTTTGAAAAAAAAAAAAAAAAATTTATGAAGTGATAGAGAATCTTTTCCCGATGGTAATGACACCAAAAGTACGAAACTTGGTCGAAAACTCATGGAATTACACTCCCGCTAAGTTAGTGGTCTCGGCGAGTGTGCATAAATTCTGTAATGGATTTCTGTTCTATTTTACCCTGCAGTACATTATACAACTGATGGTAAGGCATCAGCTGCTCTGGACAATGTTTCAGGGTCCTCTTCAGTGAAAAAAGTCTAACTTTAAGTCATTCAGTAAGTCAGTCAAGTCATTTAGTCAGTCAAGTCATTCGGTCAGTTAAGTCAGTCAGTCAAGTCATTCAGTCAGTCAGCCAAGTCAGTAAGTCAGTCAGTCAAGTCATTCAGTCAAGTCATTCAGTCAAGTCAGTCAGTCAAGTCAGTAAATCAGTCAGTCAAGTTAGTAAGTCACTCAGTCAAGTCAGTAAGTAATTCAGCAACACTGGTATGCCTACTGGGTGTCATGACTGCTTGTCAGATACAAGATATGGTAATTAAAAGATCAAAACACAATTCACAAACACAGCTGGCTTGTAGGAGAGAAGTGCAACTAAATGCTCAATACTCAGTACACACTTACCCACCTATGTACTCCCACATCATAACTGAAACAATCACTTTGAACCTTTCATCCATTGTTCAAATTCAATTCATATTCAAAGTTAATTCTCTATAAGGATTACAATGCTGAGTTTACAGAATTTGGTTATTGTGTGGTTTACATGTAGTAAAATACTAATTACAGAGGGGGCCACTAGAACACCTGTTGACAGGAATATAATTGAATCATTGTTTTCACAAAAAGCATTTTCGAATATAAATATATCTTTGTATTATATAAATTTTGATTCATTTATAACTAATATTCTACTGTACAAATATGAAATAATTACTATCCTACTGTACAACTATGATATACTCCTTAGTGTTAAGTACACTGTAAGCCAATAATTTTAAGTTGGCCCATAATGCCTAGGCATAATAGAGGCTCTCTTTGCACTGCAACTCACTATTGTAAATATAAAATCTCAATGTACTGTTTGCAAAGACATCAAAAAATAAATAAATAAATAAATAAATAAATAAACACGTAAGCTGGGATGGTGGTGTTGGGGGATGGCTGGGGATGGTGGGAGGTCTCCTCCGCTGACCTAAAACAAGGTTGCCGCTCGAGGTAGGGAATGGCCGCCACCACTTGTCACTTGACATACGTATTTTATTCATTCTAGAGTATATATCAGGTTTCTATGTTATTTATATTGTTTATTATGTTATATCAGACAAACTTTGATAGATAAATAAGCCATAGAGTTGATATTAGTGTCATATTCCTGGCTCCTGAGAGCAGGAATTCTGCTGGAATGGATTAATGGCATTTCAATGAATTTAAATGAGGATAATTGACTCAGCATACAAGCAGATTGGGATACGAGCAAGGTCACGGAACAGATTAAACTCGTAAGCTGAGATTCCACAGTACATACTTAGGTATGCATACTGGTCAGAGAGCCCGTCACAAGTCTGAGTTGTCGGTAAATGAATACGTCGCTCAGTGAGGAGAGGCTGTATATACACACCCCTGTGTTTTCTTCTATTTTCTTACTAGTTCTTGTTAATCTTTATAGAGAATAAACTTGATTGATTGATTGATTGTTCTGGTTTATTTCCTCTTATCTCCATGGGGAAGTGGAATAGAATTCTTCCACTGTAAGCCATGCATGTCGTAAGAAGTGGCTAAAATGCCAGGAGCAAGGGGCTAGTAACCCCTTCTCCTGTATATATATTACTAAATTTAAAAAGAAAAACTTTTCTTTTTGGGTCACCTTTGGGTCACCTTTGATCATCCCAAAAAATGCCACACCCACGTGACAACAGGACGGTGCAACCCCCTCCTTCCTGTAAACTATTTCACCCCGAAATGTGTCACTCATCATTCCACAAAAGAAAATGCTACAATGCATACTGCCAGGCACATCATCTAAAGGGGACAAGAAGACACAGACCAGCCAGACTATGGGAAACAAAAGAGGGGAGCCATAACCTCTCCAGAGAAAGAGGATTTTAGGGCCAGGAGGAAAAAAAGACTGGCAAGAAATGACAATAATCTTACATTAACTGAAAACACTTCTGGAGCAGAGGCAATGTCATTAATTTCCACTTCAGAACAGATATTAGAGCCAGCAAATAAAACCCCCCTAAAATCCATCAATATAATGACATTTTTCTTTACGAACATACAGAGTCTAAAGCCATCAACAAACAGCTAAATTCCTTACATCAAGGGACTGCTCACGGAGTACAATGCTATGTTTGCAGCATTCACAGAGACCCACATAAAGGATGATTTTGACAACGAAATATGGATCCAGGTTATAACCTATTCAGATGTGACAGACTAAACTGGCAACAAGGGAGGGTTGGCCTGTACATTACAGAGTTGCTCATTTGCTCAGAACTACTAAACACCTCAAATGATGTAGTTGAAGTTTTGGCGGTAAAAACTGAAAACCAAAACATTGTCATTGTGGTTGTATACAAGCCTCCAGATGTAACTTCCCAGCAATTCTGGGAGCAGCTTTTGAAAATTGACCACTGTCTGGAAAATCTCCGAACTCCTGCCAAAAACATCTTGCTACTGGGAGATTTCAACTTGAGACACCTAAACTGGAGGAGTGTAGCAAATAATATTTTAGCAGGGATCACCCCAGGAGGCAGCTCAGATGAAAATTCACACATACATGAGCTATTAAGTCTCTGCACCAAATTGAGCTATTAAGTCTCTGCACCAAATTCATCTTAAACCAGCAAATATTAGAGCCTACAAGACTAGAAAATACGCTGCACCTCATCTTCACTAACAACGACGATCTGATACGTAATGTAACTGTATCAAAGATAATACAGGTGGCTCTCCACATTCGTGAGGGTTAGAGGATCAAGAACCTTGCGAATGTTGAAAATTTGCGAATGTTTGGTGCATAAATATATTGTAGGGTAATGTAATAATAGCATTTACTTAGCCTAACAATACTGCTTCCTTAACCTATTGAACCATGAACAATCATAAAATACAGGAAAATATCATAAAATACATACATGTATTGTATATACATACACGTTATGGTTTAATAACAAATAATGAACAAACAAAACACTCACCACTTGTAAAGTTAGGCAGACGAACTCTGATGACTTGTGATGATGATGATGATGACAATGATGGTGATGATAGTTAGCTATACAGTTACTGATGACAGTTGAATGGAGGTGATTATATGGAGTGTAACTGCATGGCATGATGAGTCTAGTGTGTGGATTCTAACTCTTCACTGCCAGCATCACTGCCAATAGGGGTTGATTGGCCTCAGCAACACTCTCCTCTTCTTTATCCTCATTCTCTGCCTGCACAATCTCCAACTCTTCATCATTTAGGCCCAATGCATGTTTTTCAACCAGTTCTCTCACCTCACCCTTCTGCATGTCCTCAAACCATTCACCACGAACTAGCCTTGCTAACTCCACAGTCTTCCTCACGGCTTTGTTAATCTCGTCCTGAGGACCAAATCCAACAAAATCACACACACAATCTGGCCACAAAGCCCTCCGACAACCCTTCACTGTCTGAGGGTGCAAATCCTTGACACTCTCATGCACTACTGAGAGGCAGTCAGCGATGGTGAATTTCTTCCAGTATTGAGTGACACTCATCCAACATAGCGTGGAGTCTTTGCATTGACCTTCATGTGTAATAGGCTTTTAATGTAGCTATCACACCCTGATCAGAAGGTTGCATCAGGGAGGTTGTGTTTGGCAGCATGAACACAACCTCAATATCGTAACACATTCCCTCCAGTGATGGTGGGTGACCTGGAACATTATCAAGAAGCATGAGGATTTTGTTTGGGAGGCCCTTCTCTTGTAGGTATGCCCATACCTCCATCAGGAAGCAGTGGTGAAACCAGTCCATACAGATGACGTTGGTGGTCCATGCTTTCGGATTGTGCATCCAGAATACTGGAAGGAGATTCTTGTTGCATTCCTTCAGTGCTCTGGGGTTGGCAGATTTATAAATAAAGCCTGGTTTTATCATATGTCCAGCAGTGTTAGCACACAGCATTAATGTGCATTGGTCTTTCGCATCCTTGAACCCTGGTGCACTCTTCACCTCCTTGGTGATGAAGGTCCTGGCAGGCATCTTCTTCCAATACAGGGCTGTTTCATCTGTATTCCACACCTGCTCAGGCCTGTATTTGCACTGGTATTAGCCTCATCACTAGCCAATGTATCACACAAAGTCTTTCCCTTTGCATAAATTGCATTGCTGTCTAGGGGATTTCCTTTTCTATTTTGGTCTGAAATCCACACAAATAATGCTGATTCCATCTTAGACATCGCACTGTTTCTTACTTGTGACACTTGCTTGGCTGAGGGAGGAGCAGTAGATGCTTGTGTCACCCTTATCTTCACCTCAATGGCAGAACTGCTCAAATAACCTGCCTTACACTTGTCTAGAAATTTCACCATATCCTCCAGATTCATTACTTTCTTTGAGCACTTAGGGGTTCGCTCATCAATTGCAGTTGCTGTTCGCTTAGGAGCCATGCTTGCACCACGTGTACGGTAGGACACACAAACAGCACAGACCAACGCGAAGAGTAACTGGACAATGAGTGAGTGGCGGACTGGTGGGCAAGCTGCCGATTGAGGGGGTAAGAGGGAGGGAAGTGGAGATGCGGCAGGAAGCATAAATATGATTGGGCGGCTGGGCATTTGTGAATGTTTGAAGCTCATGAAAGTGGAACTCGCGAATGTGGAGGGCCACCTGTACACTCAGATCACAACATAAAAAGATACAGACATATACGCACAGGGCTCCTGACAAGCAAAATGTGATCAGTCATGAGGGTGTCTTCACTAAATTCAATTTCAATAACAAAAACATACAGTGGGAACAAGTCAACCATGCCCTAAATGAAACAAGCTGGGAAGATATCCTAAACAACACGGATCTGAACCTTTGCCTAGAAAAAATAAACTCTGTGGTTCTTGAGAGCTGCTCAAGGCACATTGCAGTAAGAAAAAGAAAGAAAAGCTGTAAACTAGAAAGAGAGAGATGATCCCTATACAGATGAAGGTGAAGAGCCACAGAGCTGCTGAAAGGGGCCAAAATATCTGAAATACAAAGGGAGGCACTGGTTAATGAAATTGCAAATATCAAGGTTAAGCTGAAGGAATCTTACAGGAGACAAGAACTGCAGGAAGAACTAAAAGCCATAAAGGAAATTGAAAAAACCCAGGCATGCTTGAGCGTGTTTGATAGGAGTGAATGGAGACAAATGGTTTTTAATACTTGACGTGCTGTTGGAGTGTGAGCAAAGTAACATTTATGAAGGGATTCAGGGAAACCGGCAGGCCGGACTTGAGTCCTGGAGATGGGAAGTACAGTGCCTGCACTCTGAAGGAGGGGTGTTAATGTTGCAGTTTAAAAACTGTAGTGTAAAGCACCCTTCTGGCAAGACAGTGATGGAGTGAATGATGGTGAAAGTTTTTCTTTTTCGGGCCACCCTGCCTTGGTGGGAGTCGGCCGGTGTGATAAAAAAAAAAAAAAAAAAAATGTATTTGGAGCCTTGCAGTGTCTTCGATGGAGGTCACTGTTGTGGCAATCTGAGTGTCATCCACAAAGTTACACATGGAGCTATGGTTTACATCTCTGTCTATGTCAGACATGAGGAGGAGGAATAGAATGAGAGCGAGTACTATGCCTTGTGGAACAGAGCTTTTCACCGTAGCTGCCTCAGACTTTACTCTGTTTACTATTACTCTTAGTGTTCTGTTTGTCAGGAAGTTAAAGATCCATCTACCAACTTTTCTTGTTATTCCTTTATCACACATTTTGTGCACTATTACACCATGGTCACACTTGTCAAAGGCTTTTGCAAAATTTGTGTATACTACATCTGTATTTTGTTTTATCCTCTACAGCATCCAGGACCTTGTCATAGTGGTCCAGTAGCTGGGACAAGCAGGAGCAACCTCCTCTGAACCTGTGTTGCCCTGGGTTGTGTAACTGATGGGTATCTAGGTGGTTGGTGATCTTGCTTCTTAGAACCCTTTCAAAGATTTTTATGATATGGGATGTTAGTGCTATTGGTCTGTAGTTCTTTGCAACTGCTTTACTGCCACCTTTGTAGAGTGGGGCTATGTCTGTTGTTTTTAGTAAGTGTAGGATGACCCGTGTCCATGCTCCCTCAATGGAAATAAGTCACTCTGACTTTTTTGGGTTATCCTAGGTTCTCTACACATATACTGCTATGTATGATAATCTATGTAACTGTATTTGTGTATACCTGAATAAACTTACTTACTTACCACAGAATGCTGAAGGCACGCAACAGGGGCTTCTTGCAATTCTTGATGAACACAGAGTTCCACGAGTCTGGGCCTGGGGCAGAGCGCATGGGTATGTCATTTATTGTCTTTTCAAAGTCTTGTGGTGTTAGGATAATATCAAAGATTTTTGAGATGACCAAGTTTTGGGTCTCGTTCATAAAGATTTGGATTGTCGACCCTTAATCTGCTCAGCGGCTCGCTGAACACTGAGTCGTATTGGGACTTTAGTATATTACTAGTATCTTGGCTGTCATCTGTGTATGTTCCATCTCTCCTAAGTAGGGACCCAATACTGGATGTTGTTTTTCCCTTAGATTTGGCATAAGAGAAGAAGTATTTTGATGTTTTGTCTCCTGTAAGATTCCTTCAGCTTAAGTTCAATATTTGCAATTTCATTGACCAGTGCCTCCCTTCATATTTCAGATATATTGGCCCCTCTCAGCAGTTCTGTGACTCTTCACCTTCGTCTGTATAGAAAGCGTCTCTCTCTTTCTAGTTTACATTTTGATATGATGCACTGTTACTTAAAATACTCATATTTTGAGGTTGTGTTGCTTAAAATACTCACGTTTTGAGGTTGGAGAGTCCCAAATGAGGGTAAAGCAGAAGCGGATGTCGTGGGTCTGAGAGACACACACCCAATACAGGAAGAAGATGTTGATGATGTAACCCAGCCAGTAGCAGCCCCTCTCTCACTACCAGCCGGGCCTGTGATGATGACGCTTCACCTATTGACAGATAGATTCATGTAATCAAAATTAATTTTTTCCAAAGCATTAAAAATTGTTGAACAAGCCATAGTATGCACAGTCATGGTACATGATGAGGTGTCAGAGTGGGTGCCTGTGACAAGCGGGGTTGCACAAGGGTTAGTCCTAGGACCGGTGCTGTTTCTGGTATATGTGAATGACATGAAGGAAGGAATAGACTCAGAAGTGTCCCTGTTTGCAGATGATGTGACGGTGATGAGAAGAATTCAATTGGATGAGGACCAGGCAGAACTACAAAGGAATCTGGGCAGGCTGCAGGCCTGATCCAGAAACTGGTTCCTGGAGTTCAACTTCACCAAGTGCAAAGTCATGAAGATTGGGGAAGGGCAAAGAAGACTGAAGATGGAGTACAGTCTAGGGGGCCAGAGACTATAAACCTCATTTAAGGAAAAGGATCTTGGGGTGAGTATAACACTGGGCACATCTGAGGTGCACATTAATCAAATAACTGCTGCAACATACGGGCACCTAGCAAACCTAAGGATAGCATTCTGACATCTCAATAAGAAATCATTCAGGGCCCTGTACACTGTGTATGTGAGGCCCATATTGGAGTATGCAGCACCAATTTGGAACCTACACCTAGCCAAGCACATAAGGAAATAAGAGAAAGTGCAAAGGTTTGCAACACAACTAGGCCTAAAGCTAAGGAACATGTCCTACGAGGAGAGGTTAAGGGAAATAGACATGACGACACTGGAGGGCAGGAGAGATAGGGGGGATATGATAATGACATATAAAATACTGAGAGGAATAGTCTGGGAAGTGATGTAGCGGAGGCAGGATCCATACATAGCTCTAAGAGGTATGATAAAGCACATGGAGCAGGAAGAGTGACCTAGGAGCGACCAGCTAAGAGGTGGGGCCAGGAGCTGTCACTCAACCCCTGCAACCACTACTAGGTGAGTACAGTTATGGGTAACTTAGACTAAGAGTAAAACTAATTAATTCTAAAAAAATTATCAAAGCCATTCCATGATGGTGGCAATAGGTTCAATAACTTTGGTCACAGGGTACTTGAATATGCCAATTGCTCCAAGAATATGGTCCTCTTTACACACTTGTCAAAAAAATTGAAGCTGATTGGATGAGGTGTTCTCGAGTTATAATTGATACAGAATACAATAACTGGAGGAAGGAAAAAAAAAAAAAAAAAAAAAAAAAAAAATCAGGCACCCCCTTAAAAGTAACCCTTCAGGGATGCCTAATAATCCCTTCAAAGGGAGGTGCTTTGATACTGGTGAAGGACTCTTGATCCAAGGAATCCAAGCTACCCTTCCATTTTTTAGACAAAACCTGACTGCCTACCATTTCTCAAGTACTGTATGATCTCTATGGATTTACCACTCCCACATGAATATAATAAAAATGATCACAGCCTAAATTTCAAATCCAGAGACAGTTGCCTCTTGTACGAATGCATTTTTAGTCTAACAATATTTCCACTACTTGATTAAGTTGAAAGCTGAGAACAATACATGTAATTAAACTGTTATGAAGCTAATACCTACCTGTATTATTTGTTTTTAGCTTCATAATTTCAAATGCATTGGTTTGTCTGTAGCAATTAAGAGTCAATAAACAATAATACTTAATTTTTTGAAAGTTCTACAATGTCACAAAATGTTATGTATCAAATTTTGATAAAAATACAAACAGCTAAATTCCGTTATATCTTAATATCTTGGTTTGAAATCAATAAATGTGACTCTTTCATTAATGAATTCGGAACTACAGTACTGTGAAATATATTTATTTCCATGTAGAAGAGAAAAAAATACTTCTGATCTTCATGTTTTCCTTGCATGTCAACATGAATATACACAGATATGTGAATATCTATGTATATACATAGAGCTTACTTTAATTTCTATTTTGGGGATTAAAGTACAGGTGACAAGTAGTCTCAATGACCCTGGTGCAATCAAGAAGCCTTAAATCTAGTGAACAAAAAAGTCCTCTCACCTGAAATATTATGGGACTCGCACAGATTTAGTACTGAAAATAATATATGTGCCTGGGAATATAATAAAAATCTCACCTGAGACTGTTTTGACAATGACGGTAAGGGCAGCACGAGCATATGGGTCTCTGTACACCCCGCGGTACACTCGCCCAAATGTTCCCTCCTGCACAACCTCGCCAACCTCAACCTGTACAAGCAAAACTGTTATATAAAAATAATGAACATCAAAATGGTATACAATACCGACAGGTTGTTAGGTTAGACACATATGCAACAGTTAGACAACTTTATTCCGAAACGTTTCGCCTACACAGTAGGCTTCTTCAGTCGAATACAGAAAGTAGGCTTTCTTTCTGTATTCAATATAAAAATAATAAATACTGTAAAAAGAAAAATTTATTTCTTTGTTAAGATTACAGTGTGTGTTTAAATTTCATAATTTGACTGGTATAAAGAAAACCACTAATATGCCGAGGCATTTCTGGCAAACTTAACCTCATGACTTAAACATGTTATGAGTAAATTACTTCCCATGTGCATAATAAGCATTTGTAACACCTTTTAGCTTTACGTAGCTTTATCAAGTCTTGACTTGATAAATCACTACACAATGGTGTAGAGCTTTATCAAGCTATTTGTACTCACAACTAGGTGAGGATCAAGCCTCCACCATGTCTTGTGCTGAATAACCCACATGGGTTTAGCACTTAACATGAATTAATATTATTATTATTACACAATGAAACAATTTTACCACTGAAGCTTCTAGCTTATCTTTCCTTCAATACTGTTGGCAATTCACTGCTGTATCCAGAGTACAGTACTTCCCACTTAACTCCATAATGGTTACATTGCCTAAGGAGATAAGAGTATAAAAAAAAAAAACACTTTTCAATACTATAACACTTTCAAGGGAGGATCTATACCCATACAGGTTTAGTGATTATTTTTAACATAACTCTTTCAAGGGAATAAGGGAGTTCATGCTGGTAAGGGTTCTTGATTCAAGGAATTAAAGTCACTCTCTCTTTCCTTGGATCAAACCTGATTACCTAGCATTTCCTATGCACTATGACCTCTAGAGCTTTAGTGTTTCAAAGTGAATATAATTTGTTCATACTGCATGTACATGTACCACACATTTCCCTTATTTGGTGAAATTACAGCCCAGGATAAAGGGGTTCTTGATTTAAGAAATCAGGACTACTCTCCCCTTCCTCAGATCACAACATCACCATTATGGGTTGTGCTTCCCCAACAACAGAATAATTTATTTCCACATAAAATACCACCGTAATAGATGACTGCTCCCTGGCAGATTTCAGCAATCTCCCAAAACTCCCAAAACTTTGTGATGCACATAGGTTGTATGTACATATTGTGAAATGAAAGCTAATGCCTGAATTCCACCAAACAGCAGTTGTAAATTCAATTTATTCTTTATAAGGATTTCAATGCTGAGTTTACAGAATTTGGTTATTGTGTGGTTTACATGTAGTAAAATAATAATTACCACAATATTAATCAAGAGAAACAGTCTAGACAACTTAACATAGAAACAGAGATATAAATACAGTGCAACAAGATCCATTACAGTATACTATATGCCTGTTTCCATCATGTCAGTATTTTATACTATTTCTCTCCACAACTTAACCCTTTGACTGTCGCGGCCGTATATATATGTCTTATGAGGTACCGTGTTTGACGTATATATACTCATAAATTCTAGCGGCTTCAAATCAAGCAGGAGAAAGCTGGTAGGCCAACATGTGAGAGAATGGGTCTATGTGGTCAGTGTGCACCATATAAAAAAAATCCTGGAGCACGCAGTGCATAATGAGAAAAAAAAAAACTCCGACCGTTTTTTTTAATTAAAATGCCGACTTTGTGGTCTATTTTCGTATAGTATTTATGGTTGTATTCTCGTTTTCTTGGTCTCATTTGATAGAATGGAAAACACATTATAGAAGTAGAGGTGATTTTGATTGATTTTACTATAAAAAGAACCTAGAAATGGAGCTCAAAGTAGGGGAAATGTTTGATTTTTGCCAATGTTCAAAAGTAAACAAATGATGCCATTGTCCAATAAATGTCCAACTAGCCATTCTAATATGCAGTCATTAATGGGTTGATGTTATTTGTACAATTATTACAGTATTGCAGTAGTCTGCATAATAGTAAGTCTTCTCTTTTTTGTTTGAATAAAAATTCAAAATAGAAAGCAAGAGTAATATCAGAGGGGCCTGGAGACATGACTGATGAACAAAGAAAATGTTATTTTAGAGCCAGGAATGTCTGCATTGTTCATTCTTGACCTTATTTTGAAATTGTCATATTTTTTAGTTTTCGTGAAATTGGCCAAATTGCAAATTTCTGACCACATTATTAGGTAGTTGAAATCGGTAAAGGGCAGTTTCTTGTACTCAATCGATAGAAAAAATGGAGTTCTAAAGAAATAGCTATGAATTTGGGCGACTGGAACAATGGAATTAGCCGAAAATAGGGCTCAAAGTGGCGAAATCGCCGATTTGTAAACAGCGCCGAGGTCGCTAACTTCGCAAGAGCATAATTCCGTCAGTTTTCCATCAAATTTCGTTTTTTTGGTGTCATTACAATCAGGAAAAGATTTTCTATCATTTCATAAGAAAAAATATTTTTTTTTTTTTAAATTTTGCGACACCAGGAGACACCTCAGGATTGGGGGTTGCGACAGTCAAAGGGTTAATACAGGTCGGCCATCACTAATCCGACAATCAGTTATCCGGTTCCATCAGTAATCCAGCCCTAATTTCGGCAAGCATAATTTCAAATTTCATCATTATACTGACTCAGAAGTTGTGCGGATAGTTGTAAATCCACAGCTGCAAGCCAGTGGAGGAGAAAGCAGTGATGAAAATGTGGAAAATGTAACAGAACACCTCTCTCTATTTGTAGGTTAATTAAGTGTATTCTAACCTAACCATTCTGTAATCCGGCAAACTTACTAATCCAACACACTACAGGTCCCAATGATGCTGGATTAGTGATGGCCAACCTGTATAGATATACACACAGAAAGTAGCGTATTTTATCAAAATATACTGAGGGGTGGGACTCCGACCTTCCATCTGTCTATCGCCAGTTGCCGCACTTTCTCGCTGGGGTCCATGTTGCGAGGGTCTCGCCAAGATGCCTAGAAAATACAGTAATATTCTTAAATTCATTTTGCTGTAGTTCAAGGGTTCTTGATTCAAGGAACTGAAGTTGGCCTCTCCATCCTTGGATCAATTCTCAATATAACTCATTAATTAGGAGCTTTATAATCCTGTAGAGTTTAGTACGCCCCCATAACATTAACTAAACTATTTCGCATTTCAATGTGAAATTTTTGTGTTCTTTTCTGACTATTCTAAATGAGATATAGAAAAACTGTATTACCATAATTAATTTTGGTATAGTAGACCTGTAGTATACGATGTATTTATACAGTATGTTTGTGATAAAGCAGTTGAGAAATTGCAGCATAAATTTGTATAGGATGCCGTAAAACTTATACAGGTCGGCCATCACTAATCCGGCAATCAGTTATCCAGTTCCATCAGTAATCCGGCACTAATTTCGGCTAGCATAATTTCAAATTTCATAATTATACTGACTCAAATTTCATCATTATACTGACTCAGAAATTGTGTAGATGGTTGTAAATCCACAGCAGCAAGCCAGTGGAGGAGAAAGCAATGATGAAAATGAGGAAGATGTAGCAGGAAAAGTCTCTATTGATAGGTTAAGTGTATTCTAACTTAACCACTCTGTAATCCGGCAAACTCACTAATCCGGCACACTACAGGTCCTAATGATGCCAGATTAGTGATGGCTGACCTGTATATGATGCCGTGGTTTATAAAGCATAAACAAACAATGCATAGCTGTCTACTGCTCAGAAGTCACAAACACCTAAATAATTTGTCAACAAGAAGGAAAACAAGAAATTTCAGGTAGGATCAAATTTCTTCCTTGTCATTACTATAAACAAGAAAATTGTACAGTGAATTGTGCGATGGCACTAGCTGATGATATGTATGAGTAGCATCAGTTGATAAACAGAAATGAATGACTCACAGCTGTCTACTGTTCAGTAGTTTCATAACCATCTCCAAATACCACTTAATCAACAAGCAGGAGAACAAGAAACTGAAAGCTAGTATCAAATTTCTTCCTTACCATTAATATAAATAAGAAAATTGTATGATGAGATGTCCAAGTGGTGTCAACTAATAAACCAAGACAACTCACAGCCATCTACTTCTCAATTGAGCTAAATAATAACATTAACACTTCAACAAAAAAAAAAAAAGAATTGAAGCTAGGGTAAAAATCTTTCTTGTTACTCTTTTTTTTGCAAATCTTATATGATAAGTTTGTGCACAATATTTATAATAGTTACTGACAGCATATTAGCCTTTTTCTTTTTCTCTGGATGGAGTGCACCTGTAAAGTTTGGATGGCAAGAAATAGACAAAAATACTGTGTCAAACACCAGAGTCAAATGCCAGCTTCCCCAGGCTGCAATCAGTGAGTTAATGTAATGGCTAGGATTTTATTAAGATTTGGGTTATAATGTATGTTTCTAGATCAACGAGCGATGCCATTTATTGTGTAAAATGTTAATAACTTCAATAATTTTTATGAAATTAAATTTTTCTTTGGCATTTCTTGGGATTCCAAGAAGGTAACCCTATTTTTGCGTATGTTCTTCAATTTGTTTAGCACTTTTTTTGTGTTAGATGCCATTTTCAGAAATGTAACTACAGTACCATCTTACACAAGGGTCTACTGCAATGCATAGAATTCATCCCTTTAAATTTCATCAGTAGAAGTATTAAGAGATATCTTGGTAGCAACAGCAGCAAGTGTTGGTGCTGTCCTCCTCCTCCCTTGGACCAATCTTGATTAGAGGGGGAAATGGATACTAATGAATAAAATTATAACATAGGCCTCAGATATGATAATTTCAAATACGTATAAAATGGATACTAATGAATAAAATTATAACACAGGACTCGGATATGATCATTTCAAATACATTTATGTTTTTGAAGTAGTCAATGTACTAGAACCTTAAAGTTTTCAATAAAAGTGTCCTAGGTAAATGTATGCATGTCCATTTCCTTTCAGTCGGTATTTAGTGACTTACTATAATTTCAACCAACCTGATTAATGCCCATTCCTCGGGCACTTTATGACCCCTACGATACTAGTTATTCTCTATGAATATTGTACTGGTTGGGAGGGAGGTCTCTCACCTGGGAGTGTAGTGAGGAGGCACAACAGGAGGCATGAGAATGCCTGGAGGCTGGGAGGGAGTGTGCCGGAGAGTACGGCTGAGAGTACACTTGTGACAGTGGTGATGAGGCATAGTGCAGCGACTCCCCGCCTCCACTCAGCGCACACACCTGCAAGTTACAACACTGTAATATTGCCATCATGCAACTGTCTGTTTTCATTTATCAATATATCAACTGGTAAACTCGGCTGTTATGTCCAGCAATGAGCATCAAAGTCTGGAATTCAGTTGCATTCTGAGTGTAGTACTATTAATGAAGTCATATAACTGCTATTCTTCACTTCATCTGATAAAATCTGATTGCTTCATCTCATTCCCCAGGTGCTGTATGACCACTAAGGGTTTATTGCATCCCCATAAATAATATAAGATCCTTAAATACATATCAGGAAGTTTACCAAGGAGGTGACAAACATTTAGAAAGGCCTATGTGAACGTAAGTACTGTGCAAATATTACATGTACAAGTAACACAAACTAATACATCTACTGTGTTGTGTGTAATATCCAAGGAATATTCAGTACTAAACACAAGATGTAAGTCTACATAATATCGTGCAAGCCAGAAACACCAACAGTGTAATGTGTTAGAAGTTTGAGTTGCAAAATGGCTTAAAAGTTTACAGTGAGAGGTGTATCTATGTTCACTGAGGGTTGTGCATCTGTATACATCTATACAGATGCATATATATATATATATATATATATATATATATATATATATATATATATATATATATATATATATATATATATATATATATATATATATATATAATACATATATATATATATATATATATATATATATATATATATATATATATATATATATTATATATATATATAATATATATATATATAATGTAACAACAAAATGAGTGGTATTGATCAAGTGCTGTGTTGTTAGTGATTATATATATATATATATATATATATATATATATATATATATAATATATATATATATATATATATATATATATATATATATATATATATATATATATATATATATATATCACTAACTAAAGAAAGTGTAATGAACACTTGTGTATCTGATGAAGAGGACTCCAGAGGGGGAGGTCAAAATATACAGACCAATTAAATTTCTGAGTTTGTCTCAATCTGGGTTATTATTGAGCATATACAGTAAAGTGTATTTCACAGTGTATATATACATTGTGCAGACGATGCACCATCCCCCCAATGAAAAGCAGGGGTGTCACTAGCACGTTAAGAGACCATACAATAAGTGTCAGGGGCCCGAGACTGTTCAACTGCCTCCCAGCACACATAAGGGGGATTACCAACAGACCCCTGGCAGTCTTCAAGCTGGCACTGGACAAGCACCTAAAGTCAGTTCCGGATCAGCCGGGCTGTGGCTCGTATGTTGGTTTGCGTGCAGCCAGCAGCAACAGCCTGGTTGATCAGGCTCTGATCCACCAGGAGGCCTGGTCTCAGACCGGGCCGCGGGGGCGTTGACCCCCGGAACTCTCTCCAGGTAAATCTCTCTCCAGGTATGTTTAATGAGCAGGTAAACATGCAAACTAATATTCATTGCATAAACTTTTTATGAAATAAATGTGGCTACTAGACTGGCTCTGAATTTTTGGACTGTGTATCATTTGTTTAGTCAGAGGAATAAGAAAGTATAAATAAATTTATGTAGGTACACTTTGGAACAAGTGTACCAGCTCCAGGCTTCACTAAATGTATATAATGAAACATCTAAATATATACATTACTGGAAATCTAATCCAGTGTAATGGGGAGCCCATCACTTTGGTTTCCTCAGTAAAATATCTGGGAATCCCCTTTGACCCCATCATTCAGGAAAAAGATTTAAGGTTACAGTGTAGTAAAGAAAGTGAATGCCAGACTGAAGTTCCTGTATAGACAAGCACAGTGTCTATACCTACTGAGGCTCGCAGGACCCTATGTCTAGCCCTTATACAATGCCATATGGATTACGCTTGCTCTTCATGGTACTCTGCCTTGACCAAAAAACTAGTAGACTGCAAATCACCCAGAACAAAATTGTAAGATTCATCCTGGGGCTGGGACCAAGAACACATGTAGGCCAGGATGAATTACAGCAGTTGGATATGCTGAATGTTGAAGACAGAGTAAAACTGAAGCTTAATCATGTTTATAAAATTGTCACAAACAGTGTCTAGAATATCTTGCTGCCAATTTTGTCAAGGTTGAGAACCAAAGCAATCATAGTTCTAGGGGGAGAGAGCACAACTTTGTAGTACCCACAGTCATTGGCCAGGCTTCAATCACCTTTTATTGTACAGCAATAAAGGAATGGAACAGACTGCCCGCATATGTCAAAGCCAGTCATAGCATGAACCAGTTCAAGAAGACAGCCAAAAGGTGTCTGATGAATGTAGCTACAGAAAAGGAGGGGAATGATTTTTTATTTTTTAGCTAACACACATGTAATTTTACCTTATTCATGGTAATGACCCTCGTATTGTAGATAGTCTTAATGACTCTCGTGTAGTAGATAGTCTTTTTAGTATGATAAGATGTTATCTTCATTATTGAATGATAATAAGATATTATAACCTTTATATTATAAAAATAAGGTAAAAGGACCCTAATGGAAATAAGTCACTCGACATTTTTTGGGTTATCCCAGGTTCTTTACACATGTGCTGTTATGTATGATAATCTATGTAACTGTATTTGTGTATACCTGAATAAACTTACTAACTCGATCCTGCATAAACACCACAAAAAATATATATGTATTTATACATAAATGAATGCAAAGGCACCAGAGATGGGTATCAAGGTAACCCATGGAGGTTTTCTGTGGTTTAATAACAATGAGTGGCTTGGGGAGAAAAATGTACTTTATTGCACTTTATAGCAACCAGGGAGAGAGACTATGTGTACAGGGACCTTATAATCAGAAAATATTACAAAAACATGCCACTGGGAGGACAAAAGGGTCCAAGACATTCACAAATGCCATCATTTGTACAAGTTATCCTCGATAACATCACAACTGTATCAGAGGCTGATGTATGTAGCAGTTATTGTTATAGTGGCACTGATCCAAGGAGCTGGCACTGATCCGGCAGCTTGATATCAGCTGAACTTTCGATGTCGTTCCACTCAGCCTCAAGCTGTCACTCTAAGTTAGAATCTACAATTACTGGCGGCCCGTGGCTTGGTGACTAAAGCTCTTGCTTCACACGTCGAGGGGTCCCGGTTCGATTCCCGTCGAGGGTAGAAACATTGGGCGCGGTTCCTTACACCGGTTGTGTATGTTCCCCATCAGTAAAATGGGTACCAGGGAGTTAGTTGACTGGTGTGGGTCGCATCCTGGGACAAAACTGACCTAATCTGCATAACAAGGGGCTTTCTACATAGTAGTATGTCATTAATGTCAGCTAGACCTGTATATCTTGTACACGTACTTGTAGAAATAAAGATATTATTATTATTATTATTATTATTATTATTATTATTATTATATTATTATTATTATTACTTATGATTATGGCCAAGGTGCACAAGGTTACATGTGAATTGTATTCAGCTAATATCGTTATCGCGGCCAAGAATGAAACATACGTATAACAATTCACCCTAATATATACAAGAATCTGACAAGAAGAGAGAGTATGGAGACATTCTGGACGACTTTTCTACAGATTATATCGGTCGGACCCCTCAAGGAAGGCTCCTTGACGCTGGTGAGGGGCTCTTGATCTAGGGAAATGATCTGTGCTACTGAGTTTACCTGGAGGAGTTCCGGGGTCAATCGCGCCCCGGCTTACCTGTGCTAGAGAACTAGTACTTTTTCCTGGTGATAACTATCAACCGCTGTGCCTGCTAGAACCAAGCAGATAACCAAAATATAGCAGCACCAAGCGGCGGTACCGGAATGGACTTTAGGTGCTTGTCCATCAGCTTGAAGACATGCATGTGGTGCTTTGGGTAACCCCTATGTCTGGGAGGCTTATCAGAAAATCCAGCCCGGGAGACAAGTCAAGTATTCAATCCTTATGACGTGCTAGATGACACTGTTTCAGAGGGGGATGGTGCATCGTTTGCCAAGTCTTTCAGCTGCGTATGGGTGATTTGATGTGCAAGTTCGGTCTAGTCTCCACTAGCTTTCTCAGGTGTACTCTAATTCAGTATCTCTCCTCCGCCGTTCCAGGGATAACGTTGGCTCAAGCGCTCCCAATAATGAGGTGTTTTTCCTCGTTATGGCGCGTCCTTAAAGTTTCGTTGTTCATTTTCAGGTGGGTAATTTTACTGTGTAGGGGTGACTGGGTAATGTGACAGCATATCCAGCTAGATTGAAATAGTGACTGAAGAGTGTCATCAGGCTTGCCTCCTGTTTGTGAAGGTTGCTCATTATCATCTGTCTATTTTTCTAGCAATTGCGATTATAAATGTTATGGTCCTTGAAGGTATGATGTATTCGACATATCGTATCGCCAAGGTCTTGACGTTAAGATTTCACCTAATATTTAAGTGCCAGAAGAATATGGTTTTGATACTTCTGCAGAATTGTGTCCCGAGCTCTTTACCATATCGAGTACTATTGAATTGATCAGTAACTTATAGTGTTTTTGCAGCACACTAGTAAAATTTGGATCTGCTCCAGTTCGTGAATAACCTGATGCCTACATCCCCCCATAGGCTTATTTACATTCGTACAGGTTGATCTGTTCCAGTCCCTGAATTACTGAATCTTCATAAGCCTAATAATATCAGGTCGGTAAGTAATAGCCCTTATACTAATAATTTATTAAGTATATCGGTTCTAAACTTGTGTCTGGAATGTTTGTTAGAGTTATAATCCCAGGTATGGATTTGAGTTTGATTTAATATCTTTATTTACTACTCCTAGCTGACATCAGTGACATACTATATAGAAAGCCCCTTGCTATGCTGAACATTTCGGGCAAATTTGATATGTATTTCGAGTTTGGCTGTAATTTTGTATACAAATTTCTCAGGATACTATTTATGCAGAAAAAAAAATAGGAAAGAATAAGAGCTACGGATGCTGTACGGTCATAAAATTCACCGGATTAAGTACATATACAACGTGGATAACGAGCCGTGAAGGAGATGCGTAGGAGCCGACGGTCAGCCATAGAAGGGAAGGAAACACGCTAGTGGATTCATGTCTGACAAGCGATGGCTAGCATTTTGTGAGGCATAATTTATGGGCACGGACAATGGGCGAGTAACCGGTCTTGTGTGGGGATGCTTATACTGGCAAGACTAATGCTTGCGTCCATCAACATCCACTATTATCACTTTCTGAGGGCAAGACGCTACCAGCGCATCCCTCAGTGAATATTTTGGGTCCTGCTCAGCTGGGACTAAGGTGTTTGAGGAGGTGGTCTGTTATGTTGTGCTGCTTCTGCTGCTGTTGGTAATATAATGGTGTTACAACAGCTACTGCTGCCTTTTTCCTTCCCCCCTTTCTTCCTCTATCCCATTTCTCACGTGTGTGACAGAGTTACCTTGAAATGATACTTACAGAACTAGTATCTCCAGCCCTGTTGTAACGAAACCCTAAAAGTAGCCTTAGCTACTGAACCCATAGTGCAATACTAGACGATATCTTAATCGTCCTAGAGAAGTCTTCCAGCTTTAGCTGGGTGTTAGAGAAGCCAGAGCTCGAGCTGAGGGTGTTACCCAAACACGTTAAGAGGACGGGCTGCAAATCAAGAAATTAAACCCTACCACGGGTGGGGTTTAAACCCGCTGTCAGAGTCTCAAAATTAAACGTCAGTGTAAGCACATTTACCCTAGAGGGGAAAAACAATATAGATGCTGGTGGTAGAAGATAAAATATTGGTGATGCTGGAGATCTTGGTGGTGCTACAGGTGTTGGAACAAGCGTTGGTGGTGCTAAAGGAGGTGTTGGTGCTACTTGAACTAGAGCTAGAGGTGCTCGACCTGGTGTTAATAGCGTTAGAGCAGGTGTTGGTGGTGCTAGAACAGGTGTTGGTGGTGCTCGAGCAGGTATTGATGTTTGAGCAGGTGTTGGTGGCGCTCGAGTAAGTGTTGGTGGTGCTAGAGAAGACTCCTGAGTACACAAAACAGTATTACCTTGGCTTTCCTCTTTTTCTGACCGCAGGTAGGCGTGTTAAAATTTGGGAGCAAAAGTCAGCTAATATTTACACAATACTCATTATAATGCATTTTACATAAATGTCGCACTTTGCAGTGGCTTAAACATATTTACCACAAGCTATTATTATTAGTAGTATGAACTGAATTTAACTAGAAACATGTGTAAGTTATAGTTCTCACGGAACGAGGAATAAAAACTAGATCAACAATATGATCCATCATTTGTAAAAACGCAGGCAGGCAGGATTTACCTCGTGGGTGAGAATGGGAACCTTCTTGAAGGAGGCGATGGTGGCGTAAGAGTTGCTTCTCAGGGAGGTGCCACCGCGGCCACTGCCTCCTGTAGTAGCAGCGCTGGTGTCGCCCACGTAGCCAGGTCCACTGTAGTACCTGCAGGTGAGCGATGCCCTGCCCCAGGCACGAGTCAAGGTATATCAAGGCAAACTTAAACTACAAAAAGAAAATTCTTGAAGAGTGTAAAATCAGGGAAAGAATTTAGAGAGCACTGATCCCAAACTGATGTTCTGCTCACTCACACACTAGGCCTATACACAACAAAACAAGTATTATATCTTGACTCACGATATCATAATGGCACGATTGCAAACAAACCATACAACGGGTGGGAATAGAATCCGCGATCAGACTGGCGGGTTCTGTCCCCGCCTGTGGTATGGTAAGTATTATCTCTGGCTGGAGTGCAGAACAGGGATGTTTAACCTTAAACTTGTGCTCCCCCATACCAAATTTATCCCAACTCACGCACCCCATCTCAAAAAAACTGATTGAAAAAGGATTGAATTAACATCCAAAATATTTTGAATTTACATTTTATTGAAGGTTTGTAGAAATAAGCAAAGTACTCTAGTAAAAAGAAAAAAAATATAGTATTCATAAGTGTACACAGAAAAATAAATTCATTTAACTGAAGTTAACAAAACATGTGAATGACTTAGTCTTAACAGAAAGACAAACACTCCAGTGAGACTACTGCTTCAGGATTTTATTTATGAGCAATTTCAAGTGAGGTTCGACTTTCTGCACGATCGGAAACTAATATTTCGTAATTTATCTATATGTAATTTTTTAAGAATTGATAAATTGTATCCCAGGGACCGTTCATGCAGCCCCTCTAGGACATCCCTGGTGAAGGATCTCATGACCCTGCTATGGCATCGGTAAACCACATTAACAGCTTGTCCTAACAGTTCATCCAGGACCCCACTGGTACTTTAGTGATTATAAGAGCACTGAGAGCTAGTATGTGGAGGCGTGTGTATCTCGTTGTTAGCGGACGGAGGATCGAATCCCATCACGCCATCCGCTACATGACCAACATGGGTTTAAATAAACCAAATAAAAGGCATCAGAGCTAAACTGTGAGTCCCGGTGGCCTCCCCACATCTGTATACCTAAACTTCGATTGTAAGAGGCAACGATCTAACTAACAGATGACACATGAAACAGCGCAAGCCTTTATTGAAATAAAGTCAAAGTAAAGGTTTAAGGTGTTTCGTGCGTCTTCGTCATCTAGAAAATTATTAAAAATTATCTTTACATTAATGGTATACAATACCAAGAAGTGGATGTATACGACACGTGCAACACCTGGGTATCTTTCTTTATGAAGGCGCTTACCAGTGTCTTTTTCAATCCAATACAGAGATTTTAAAGGGGAGACAGTAGAAGTATAGCGGTAATTTAGAGGTGTTTAGACCTTTTAATACCTCATCAAAACTCAGGGGTTGAAAACTTAAATTACCTCTCCACTTCGTCCACTGCCTGAAGTTTAATCTCTGTATTAAATTGATATAGCCACTGGTGGGCAAAACGTCTTCGTAAATAAAGAAATCCAGGTGTTGCAAATGTGTTTCAGTCATCAAATACATCCTCGTTTTCATACCTGTGTTCCATCATGGTCTAGGACTCTAGGAGTACATAGTATGGGATGCCACCTGGAATGAGAAATGTTCGTACTAGAAGAGAAGCTTACTACTCACTGATTTCTGGTGCGCTTGACTCTGAGGTAGAGCACGGAGGCGACGGTGATGACAAGCACGGTGAAGGTGCAGGCGGCGCCCATGGCCACGTACAGTGTCCCCAGCGATGTGGACATCCACTCTGGACGCAGGTAGATCGACTCATTCCTCGGGGCGAACTCTTCTGGGTGAAGAAAATTGGAGGTTATTACTCGTACCTCACAGGAGCTACGAGACAGCTAACAACAGGAGAGTAAAAGAAAGAAAATGATAGAGTTAACAGGAAGAACAGCGTGGGTAGTAGGTGCCAGAAGAAGAAAGTAAATAAAGAATTTACGAACTGGTAACACGGTGAAGCACAATCATAGTCACTAGAATTAAAAATCGTATATACTTCTGTACCCCATCCCCTCGAGAATAGCCCTTCAAATAAATGTAAAGTTTTGAGTGCTAAATCAGCTAATCTCGGGAGAATTGCTGTATTAGTGTACCACAAATCCAAAGGCTATAGGAAAAGCATGAGTATTTTCAAAGATGAAAATACTGGGGAATAAAGGAAATGTTTTCAGTAATTTGTCTTGCTTACTTACACCTCTCCTCTTCATTTGTAAAAAAAAAAACTTCGGAATTTTAAACTCAGACTTTAGCAAAACTTACAAGCCCAAGAATGAATGCTTCACAGGGTTTGGGGTTCACGCCATATACACATGGCCAGAGGCCCAGAGCTGCACTGGGTATTATCGGACTCATGAGTGCCGTACCTTAATAAGGACCCGACCAGAGTGCTCCTCGGATGAAGAGGATTTTGCAGTTGTAAAAGCATTAACAGGTGACTCACTGTAGTTGTGTGAAGAAAACGTAGATGAAAACTTTTGAAGTCGCATCCACGTTAATTCAGGAAAAAGTTCAGAAAAGTCTTGAAAGCTCATGCAAGAAAGTTTCAGTTTTGGTCGCGGTACGCTTTTTTTTTTTTTTTTTTTTTTTTGTCTTAAAGGTGAATAATGCACCCACTTAGAAAAATAAATCAAGACATTCCAACGAAAGAAATATAGGAAAAGGCATCGTCTTGTTATCGGATCCTCTGGATTGGATCTCAATCCCTTCCACCCACCACAAAAACGGGGATCCGCTCCTGGCTTAGCTGTCCAACACTGAGTGTGGGCCAGGGTCACGTTCCGCATCTGTATCTAATCTGCCAAGAATCAGGAGACTCGCTCTGGCGTCTTTCCTCCCGCCTACGCTTCCTCACCGCTTTCCTTGATTCAGAAATATGCACGGTTATATTTTCATTCCAGTTTTGTATTTGGTGTACTTGTTCCTGGGATAACTTCCTGAACTGTCTGTTGCAGATTTTCTCCTCAGGCTGCATTGCCTCTATGGGTTAACTCCAGAACTACCGAATATCTTCTTTTTATATGTTTCTGTCCTTAGTGTTAACTATAAATATTTCAAATGTGACTCTAGGTATCTATGTACGTACTATGTAAACATAGATAAGAAGTTGATGTTAAAAGTGTGGACTGTGGCTTAGAAAAGCAGGCGCAGTGAACAGACATATCTTTTATGAAGCGGAAAATCTGTCTGTCATTCAGATTAAGGAGTGGTGGAGGCTAGTTCCTCCATCCGCCAATCGCGAGAAAAATCCTTGGCTGCAAGAGAAGAGAATTTGATGATTTTTCCAGGGAGCAGCAGGCTTACTAGTCATTACTAGGCAGAGGCAAATGAACAGCGAAGTACTGTAAAGAAAAAAAAACCAATGAACGGAATCAATGTTATTTGAATCTATGCTGTTATGTGAGGCTTGTATATGTGCTGTGCTGCAACAACAGTTGTATGCGTGTTGCAAAATGTCGCCTTCTAACCTAACATTATAAATCACTTATGTTTACCTGGAGTTTACCTGGAGAGGGTTTAAGGGGGTCAACGCCCCCGCGGCTCGGTCTGATACCAGGCCTCATGCGACCAAAATGTACTTACCAACTTCCCCAACAACCATAATGCTATACTGTCTGAAGAATGGTGTAAATTACTGCAAGCAATAGGGATTTCTTCAATGTAAACTTAGATAAGGATAAATAATTATGGAAAAATTGTAAAGACTTGGTTGAAACAATATGCCTAAGGACACTGTTGGAACAATGAACGAAGGAATTATGCAATTTGTAAAGCTATCGCCCTAAAAGGAAATTATTCGCTTTATGTAATAGCAATCATGTATTCAGGAAGACTTTACAAACACGCACAAAATAAAACAAAAGTAAACACCATAAAAAAAATAGCTTAAACATTCAGGAAAAAGAAAAAAACTTGCATATCATGTATAATGACCTGCATCTTTTAGAAATCCCCAAGCGGTTGATATTTAAAGACTGACCCAAAATTTCATCGAAGGTCCTACAAGTCTCCCAGTTATTAAAAAATTCTCGACATAGGGATAAAGGCCAAATCCCAGGGCAAATCACTATGATATACCGCCACAAATAGCAGGAAAGAAGCTAGCGCTGAGACAGCATCACCTGGGTGCAACTGGCCCTGGGAAAGGTGTGCGCATCCAATCTTCAGTGCACAGAGAATCAACTAATGAATGAGACACGTGCAGCACTTGCGTATCTTTATTTCCTTAAACGTTTCACCTTCACAGCAGGCTTTTTCAGTCAATAACACATGTGATTTAATACTGGAGACAGTGGAAGAAGTAGAGAGCGCCAAATGAGCACATCCTGTCGGGCGCTGAGTAAAATACTGTTCTTCTGGATGGTCCACTTGGGGACATAGCGACGAATGTGGCTCCAAAAATTGAGTGAGAGCAAAAGTTTGTTAAAGAGTACGTTCTACATGATAGTCTCCTGGTACGTGAGGTCGTACATAACCTGCGACTCAGACATGGCCTGGGTACACACACCTGGTGTGTGGACCTGCTGGACGTGTACATACACCCGGTGTGTGGACGTGCTGGACGTGTACATACAACCGGTGTGTGGACGTGCTGGACGTGTACATACACCCGGTGTGTGGACGTGCTGGACGTGCACATACACCCGGTGTGTGGACGTGCTGGACGTGTACATACACCCGGTGTGTGGACGTGTTGGACGTGTACATACACCCGGTGTGAGGACGTGCTGGACGTGTACACGGCTGGTGAATCGCATCTGAAGCTTTTGGGACAAATAGCGACGAGGAATATACTTCGCGGGGACTGCTGGAACGAGTGCAGGGACACAACTGGAACGAGTGCAAGGACACAGCTGGAACGAGTACAAGGACAGCTGGAACGACTGAAAGGACACAGCTGGAACGAGTACAAGGACGCAGTTATAACAACTAGTATAACAACAAAAGCACAACAATGACAGACGGCTACCAAATAAGAGAAAATGTATAAAGATGTCACCTAAACGATCTCAGTAGAACAAGACCAACCAACAAATAAAAAACAACGAGGAAATGTGCCAATACAGAGGTGATGCCACTTAAAAAAACAGTGGCACTAGAGCCAGCAGTTCGCTGTGCCACAGTGATAAGAAGTTATCGTTCGCGGACGTTAATTCCTTCAGAATTACAGGATTAGCGGGACGTGGCAGGAAGCACTGTTCGCCCAACTTGTTTGCGCTCTCCGGGAAACCCCTCCCGGATCACGGCAGCGACTCCCAGCGCACGGCAGCGACTCCCAGCGCACGGCAGCGACTCCCAGCGCACGGCAGCGACTCCCAGCGCACGGCAGCGACTCCCAGCGCACAGCAGCGACTCCCAGCGCACGGCAGCGACTCCCAGCGCATGGCAACGACTAGCGCACGGCAACGACTCCCAGCGCACGGCAACGACTCCCAGCGCACGGTAACGACTCCCAGCGCACGACAACGACTCCCAGCGCACGGCAACGACTCCCAGCGTACGGCAACACAAAAACACATCCAGGGGCACACTAATACCTCCCTGAGCACAGTAACACGTTCCACTGCACACCAACACTTCCGAGTGTACACCAATGTCTTACAGCGCACAACAACACATCTAGGCGCACACTAAAACCCTCCCTGCATACAGCAACACCTCCCAGCGCACAACACTTCAAGGCGCACAACAATCAATAAAATCTTTCATTTCGTTGTTTCTTTCAGTTTTGGTTCAGTCTAATGGTTCAGGATAATATTATCCAGAACCGGTTTCTACCATACGAAGTTATGGAGAGGAGCAACCGTACGTTGTGGAACAGACTTAATGGAACGATGAATAGACTTAGGGGAACAAGGAATGTACTTGATGGAACAAGGAATATACTTAATGGAACAATGATTAGACTTAATGGAACAAGGAACAGTTTTAATGGAACAAGGAATGCACACAAAAGAACACAAACTAGACCCGATGGAAAAAGGCATGCACTCAACGGAACAAGAAAAAGACTCATCAGATCACAATAACCTCACTGGAACAAGGCAAAGTTTACCTGAGAACCGAGGGTACCACTGGAACAGAGGTGCCTCCAGGCTGGAGAGGAGTAACGTACCTTTGAGGCAGATCTTCTTCCTCTTGATAGTGATGTTGGTGAGGTTGTGGGCACGGTTATGGGTGGTGATATTGAGGTGGAGGTTCACCAGCACTTCAGCGTTGACCCGACCAGAGCAGGGCAGCGACACGCTGGAAATATGCATAATTTTCTTTTAATTAGGTTTTGGGTATGTAGCATAATATATATAATATATATAATATATATATATATATATATATATATATATATATATATATATATATATATAATATATATATATATATATATTTTCCAACACACCAGCCGTATCCCACCGAGGCGGGGTGACCCAAAAGAAAAAACGAAAGTATATCCTTTTACATTTAGTAATATATACAGAAGGGGTTACTAGCCCCTTGCTCCCGGCATTTTAGTCGCCTCTTACAACACGCATGGCTTACAGAGGAAGAATTCTGTTCCACTTCCCCATGGAGATAAGAGGAAATAAACAAGAACAAGAATTAGAAAGAAAATAGAAGAAAACCCAGAGGGGTGTGTATATATATGCTTGTACATGTATGTGTAGTGTGACCTAAGTGTAAGTAGAAGTAGCAAGACTTACCTGTAATCTTGCATATTTATGAGACAGACAAAAGACACCAGCAATCCTACCATCATGTAAAACAATTACAGGTTTCCGTTTTACACTCACTAAGCAGGATCATATATATATATATATATATATATATATATAGTATATATATATATATAATATATATATATATATTATATATATATATATATATATATAGTTTTTTTAATACTTGACGTGCTGTTGGAGTGTGAGCAAAGTAACATTTATGAAGGGATTCAGGGAAACCGGCAGGCCGGACTTGAGTTCTGGAGATAGGAAGTACAATGTCTGCACTCTGAAGGAGGGGTGTTAATGTTGCAGTTTTATAACTGTAGTGTAAAGCACCACTCTGGCAAGACAGTGATGGAGTGAATGATGAAAGTTTTTCTTTTTCGGGCCACCCTGCCTTGGTGGGAGACGGCCAATGTGTTAATAAAAAAATAAAAAAAATAATATATATGGATAAGACACATTTGCAACAATTGGGTATCTTTACTGAAGAAATTATTAGGCATATAATGACTGTACTGTACAGTACTAGAGTATGTACAAAGTTAGGTACTGTGTTATCTTCGGCATCGACTTCTTCCATTGAAAATGAGTGAAACAAGCCCTGGTAGGAGTAGAAGTGGCAGTTTTGACGTTATCAGTCCCTCACCCTCGGCGGAAGGTGGTCAGTCCCTCAAGTCTAAAACATAAGAATGTAGCTAGACTATGTCTTCGGCAACAAAGTTTTTATTTGTTGCAAACGCGATGTTATTCACCAACTTGGGCGTACTGCATTCCATCAATACTATGACAATTGTCTTGAAGGCGCACAAATGTTACTGTCACACTGTATGCAAATTTAAAGCAGGATTACACTATCAAGAGGCGAGAGTGTCCAACGTTGGTGGGTCGACGCTATTATTTAGCAAAATTGCATACATCAACAGTACTGGGTGATAGTCGACTGGTGTGGGTCCCACCCTGGGACAAACTGACCTAATTTGCCCGAAATGCTCAGCATAACAAGCGGCTTTCTATATAGTAGTATGTCATTGATGTCAGCTACGCCTGTACCTTGTACATGACTTGTAGTAAATAAAGATATTATTATTATTATTATTATTATTATTATTATTATTATTATATCTTCCAGTAGAGCTGGAGTTGCTATTTCTTGGGAATTATCATCTCTCAGGATGGCCTGTCCCATATATACAGGGAATATGAAATTATTATAACGATATCTCCATCATCACAGATCGGGGGAAGAAGACAAAGAAACAAGCAGGAGGGAAAGAAATTCGGATGACAATAAATCTAATTTTATACACACACTAATTAATATTTTACAATGCAGTTATTATATACCTAAGAATATATACTGGCGCTAACCTCGCCACAACCGACCTCAGCATCATGAAGGAAATTGTTGACACATTGGAGAGAGAGAGAGAGAGAGAGAGAGAGAGAGAGAGAGAGAGAGAGAGAGAGAGAGAGAGAGAGAGAGAGAGAGAGAGAGAGAGAGAGAGAGAGAGAGAGAGAAACTCACAACTGTTATAACAAAAAAAAATAACGTCAATATCCAGACAATAAAAATAAATGCAATATCAAGTACACTTCGTCAGGAATAATTTAAATGCAGTTATAATTAAACGTCGATACAGATCACAAAGGCATAATTTCCAACACATCGGCACTGACCACACACGTGCGGTTTCAAACGCACTGAGGCGAATGATACCGAGGTGAATGAAATTACTTACCACCCAACATAGTTTATTTTAAGCATACAACCACACACATCACACGAAAGATTAACATCAAATATTTTCTACAAAACACACACACACACACACACACACACACACACACACACACACACACACATAACCAGCATGGATTTAGAGACGATAAATACTGCTTGAGTTCCACGAGAAGGTAACAGAAGCGAGGAGACAGAGAGATGGATGAACTGTATGTTCTGGACTGTAAGGCTTTTTACGTAGTACAACACAACAGAATGGGACAAAAACTAGAGGAGAAGGCAGAGATAACAGGAAAGGCACGACAGTGGATCAAGAAATGCTTAACAGAAATGAAAGAATGACTGTTATTCGGGAAGCGGTGTCACAATGAGCAAGTGTGACAAATGGGGATCCGCAAGGATTAGTACTGGGACCTGTACTATTTCTTGCGTACATGAAAGACATGGTGGAAGGAGTCTGATGCATCCCTGTTGACAGATCACGTGACACTGAAGAAAATATAGACAGGAGAGTACAAAGAAAGGCTGCAAACGGACCTGGACAAGTTGCAGGATTGGTCTGAGAATGGCTATTTGAAATTCAACTCAGCAAATGCAAATTTATGAAAAAGGGGAGAGAAGACCAGAAACGAAGTACACCCTCACGGAACAAAGGCCGCCAACGTTACTCATATTGCCAGTGTCTGAAAAGCACATCAACTAAGTAACTTTTGAAGCAAAAGCTTAAATGCATATCTAGGATTATCTTTTAGGAATCTCTACAAAGACTCACCACACTATATACATCTGTCGTGTGCAGAGTAATGAAGTATGCAGCACCAGTTTGAAACCCCTCACCTGATCATGCTTATTAAGAAACTGGAAAATATGCAGAGATTTGCAACAAGACTAGTCCCAAAGCTAAGGGTTATGAGCTATGAGGAGAGACTAAGAGAACTAAACCTGTTGACAACAAAGGACAGAGAACCAGTGAGGCCATGACCACTACATACAAAGAACCAAGAGAAATTGGTAGCATGGAAAGCGACAGACTGTTGAAAAGCAGAAACACGTACACGAGGGCACAGCTGGAAGTTAAAAATAAAACACAAGTTACAGTTATATTAGGAAATATTTTTCAGCCTCAGAGTAGCAAGTAAGTGGGACGACGCTGACATCAAAGCTATAAAGGGAGAAACCCTACAAAGCTTTAAGAATAGGTATGAAACCAGTAGCAGCCGGACTGACAGATGGGGCATAGGAGCTGAGAATCGACCCTTGCAACCACAAACAGGTGAGTACAAATAGGTGATTACACCCACACGCAAAAGGTTGCACCAACCACACACATTATAATTACAACAACGAGAAACAAACATGGTGTCTCGAGAAATTCATTTAGAAAACCTCATTACCTGTCGGACAGCGGGTGCACATTATGAAGGTAATTATCATTAAGAAAGGCAAGTAGAGGCGTTTGTAGCTAAAAATGATTTCTGTCTTCCTCCGCTCCAAGGTTCTACTTCATAACTTGAACGCCTCATCCAATCGGCATCAAATTTTAAATACTAGCGTACTGTAACTCCTCCTCCTCCTCCTATTACAACCACTGCTACTACTACAGATACTACTACTACTGTTACTACTACTGTTACTACTACTTCTACTTCTACCACTAATAATAATAATAATAATGTAATCTTATAATTCTTGAGTCTCTTCTTTCCAGAAATTCACCAACGCTCGCACATCACATCATAAATGCGACAACTTCAATTAAAAAAAAAAAATACGAAAGCCTCATGAATTACTGGCATGTGCAGGTGTGTTGTAGTTAATATTATACAGATCAATCTCACGTCCGGGGGTTCAACTCTGGTGCATCTTACTCGGAAGACAGCCGGGGTACTCCCAGGAGTGTGTAGGTGGCAACACGCTAATTTAGTGTTGAAAATAAGGATGGATAATAACCAATATGTTTTGCCCGTCTGGGTGTAATTTGCCAGTACAGTAACGCAGAAATTTATAATCTTGGAAGGGTAAGAGTCTGTGAGATGAATGGAGGCTACCTCTTCAGTCTGATTTTATTTTTTTTTTCAGGGTGGCTGTGGTGAAAAAGTACAGTAGCTGAAAGATTTTATTGAGACGTTTCGCTTGTGGAGAGGCTGTTTCAGTCAACCTGAAGAAACCTGGCGTGTCTTGCTAAACGGATCATTGAGGTGGTGGGAGGCTGGGCTTATAAGATACGGGAATAACTTTCTCGAATAAATGATGAGCGGTTCTCTTGTTCATTATATTATGAACGGCTTTGTTCATCTGTTGAACAATTCTCTCGTTCAGCGTACTGATTGTGTCAGACACGTTTATAGAAGTGACCGAGTGCCGGCAGGGTTTGTAATAATTTCTGCAGAGAGAGAGAGGAGAGAGAGAGAGAGAGAGAGAGAGAGAGAGAGAGAGAGAGAGAGACAGACAGACAGACAGACAGACAGAGAGACAGACAGAGAGAGAGAGACAGAGAGCGAGCGAGCGAGCGAGCGAGAGGAGAGAGAGAGAGAGAGAGAGAGAGAGAGAAGAGAGAGAGAGAGAGAGAGAGAGAGACAGACAGACAGACAGACAGAGAGACAGAGACATACAGAGAGAGACAGACAGACAGACAGACAGACAAACAGAGAGACAGAGAGACAGAGACATACAGAGAGAGACAGACAGACAGAGAGAAAGAGAGAGAGAGGGAGGGAGAGAGAGAAAGCACATTCGTTTCATGCAGCAATAAAATTTAAAGGGGCTTACGGTGCTCACAGCAT